AAGAATTGCTTAATAAATTCCCTTATATTAAGTTTATGGTGGGTCTTCTGGCCTCTTTTGAAGATAATTTGTTTCCACCAAATCAAATCAATTTAGCGGTGGTAGATGATCTCATGGCCTCTGCAAGTGACAACAATCAAACAGAGAAGGCTTTTACACAGTACGTTCATCACAGAAACCTGAGCATTATTCTCGTACTTCAAAACCTGTATTTCCAAGGTAAGAAAATGAGAACAATAGCTCTGAATTCCATATATTTGGTTTTATTCTGCTGTCCCCATGATCAGATGCAACTTGTCATGCTGGCTCGTCAGATGTACCCCCCAAAAAACACAGTACTTTTTAGAGGTATTCCAAGATGCCACTCACAACCCCCACAGCAACCTTTTGGTAGATTTGGCAGCCACTACTCCAGAAATCTACAGGTTGAGAACGGGCCTCTTTCCATCTGATTGGCCTGTTGTTTACACTGAGAAAAAGAAAAAGAAAAGCAACCACTCAGGTATCATAGCGTTAGCTCATCCAGGATATCAGAGAGGGTGCACAGAATTTTTTTTTTTAAATCTTAGTAAAGGCTGGTCCAAAACAGAGAAAGGCCATCTTATGCAGTGCTAATAATGATCTGGTAGGCGCAATAGCAGAAATAGCCCTGAACACTTTAAAAGGAAACTTTTCTCTGAAACCTTCACAATTCCACACATTAAAGAGAAAGAAAGGTGTGATTAAAAAGTTGAGTGATAGAAAGGTCTCGCTCAGAAAGAAGAAACAGATCATTCACCAGTCAGGAGGACTTAGTAGGGGCCGCTATTCCATTGGTGACCAGCCTATTAACCAGATAAACCATGGATTGTGCTGAAAAAATGTATCTGGTGTCACATCACCAGATGGAGCAATTACAGGGTAGGGTGCCTACTATGGGGACTATGGCCAATAACTGGCTGGATGATGAGATATGTGCCATTCTTCAGAGATCTGATTTGAGTGAGGACAAGATTAAGCTCTACAATTCTGTGCTTCAGAGGTTTCTAAGACTAACTGGACAAAACAAGTCTGAAAAGGGCAGACTGAATCTCATTTACCCACCTGAAGATCCTCAGCCACCTCCGGCATTACCGGAACAGGCGTCACAGCCATCTCCACAGGACACAACAATGTGTGATATCCTGGGGAGTGTGAGCATGCATTACAGGAAAAATGCTGAACTTTTGTTGAACAAAATGAAACAGCATCAGGACATTTCAGACTGGGATGAACGTGGTACCTTTTTATGCAAAGGCATACCTATTCTTGGTACTAATATTTTAGACCTGTGAAAGGTACCTCACAACACCAAGCATATGCTGATAAATGGAGACCTAAAGGATGGGATGAATTTCTGAAGAGCATGGCTGAGGTGAATGTTACCAACCTCTGTGCTGGGATCTACCACTGTTAAAGACCAATTAGAAAAGCTAAAGAGTCTGTGGCTCTTAAGGTCAAAACATCTACTAGCCCTGACTCTGTTATGCCTGCTCCTTTTAGGGCTCAGAAGCCTCTGTTTACCAATACCCCCTCTAAACCTTGGATGCTAAATCCTAGAAGTAGGCTTAGGTTTGGTGATTGGCTCAATTTGTAAAATGATTAAAAACGTGAAACAAGCAAAAAGTTGTCTTTATTTTATAAGACAAATTTGTTTGCATACACTGATAATGAGTACAGGTTCCAAACCCCCTTCCCAACTTTATACTTTTTATAAACTGCTTTACCATTTGATCATTCTTAACATTGTCCTCAGAGTACCACTTTAAGGTATTTTCATAATCCATACCTTTAAATCGGTTCAGTAGAAAAAACACAGTGTTGTCTGCAGGTCATCGCATGGGTGTGTTGCAGTTGATGCTGGTGAAATGTGTACTTCTCAGCTTGCAGCTCTAAAAACTTCAGTACAGATCCGGGAAAGTCGGGGCTATCTGGTGGTCTTCCATAAGAATAAAAAAATTCACCATATCCAGGAGATGGGAAGTAGAGGACTAGCCAATGTTCACCAGGCAGAGTTTGAGGATGGGTGTTTATAATGAACCCAAAATGTCTTTTGGAGATTTTTCTCTTGGGTAGCAGGTCACAGGGTAGACTCTTAGAAAGGCAGTATTTCCAGAGAACAAATGGAGGAGCTGTAGGGTGTCCATTCTCACATGTAATCAACAAGCATGTTCCTTGTGTTACTTATTTCAATAAGGTTTTCAAAGATCGCATAGAGAATCATATTGATGGTATTGGGGAGGAGTTGTGCAAATCTAATTTCTGTTCTGAGGTTACTGTTCCTGATCAAAGAATAGAGCTCAGAGCCCTCCTGATCAGGGCTCAAGTCAAAGCAGTACACAGTATAGCTGTGGCCAAACTCTTCCCGACTGATTAACAACTGCCTTTCATACCTTTGCCTGACACCTGTACCATCTGCATGTACTCTCTCACAAAAAGGTGGTGCTCATAATCAGGCTGAAAAGGCTTTGGGGGGAATCTGTTCACTGTCACAATACAGGGCACAAAAATTGACATTGCTGTGTTGAAAATTGAATGGGTTTCTTTCATAATCTCTGCTAAAGGATGCATTGTCCACAAAACCGATCACTAATTGTTTAGGTAGCTGGCCCAGAAATAGGTTTTCCTGATTACACACAAGGCTGCCTCCTGGAATGCTGTAAACCTTCATTCCCACTCGATCAATGGGATATTTGGCATTGGATATGAGCAAAGCTTCCGTGTGACCCAAGCACACTCCTAGTGCCACTTTTACACATTTTACAAAGAGAGAAGCTGAGAGGATTTGCACTTTGTAATTCACATTGCCATCCTTCATCAGGCAAAACTCATTCCTGCTTCTTGTGAGTTTGACTTTCACATCTACCCCATTAATCAGCAGCTTGTCTTGAAAAGAGATTGCCAGGCAAAGGCCCAAGCAGGTCCCATTTATGACTACTAGCTGTGTGTCTCACTCTCGCTCGAAAACTCCAGTTGCCTGTGGGTGTCAGCAGAGTACTCTCCATGAGTGTTGAGTCATCTTTGTAAAAACCACTGGTTGTAAATTGGGTACCCAGCACATCATCACCAAAGTTCAGAATCAGATGGTCAGATAAAAATAGCAATGGTGGGTCTGTGTAGTGAATCAATCTCCCAAGGTGACATCCAGCTGATTAAAAGCGATGCTAGAGGGTAGTTGATTAGTGCCACCCTGACACCATCACCAATATCCGTACCATCAGCCTTTACAATCTTGCAATTTGCGTACAGCAGGGTGTTGTTTAAATCCCCGTGTAATGCTCATCATGTCCCGTGATAAAAAATTCCAAGGGTGTGAAGATAAAGGTGGGATCTCGACATACATGCTGTTTTCAATACTGGTTTATGTAGGTGCCAGTTGAAAAAGATCCAGTTCTGATTTCATACATTCCTCTGAAGCCACATGGATAAATGCCATTTTGTATTAGAATATGTCTCACTTGTCACAGCGCCTCCTCTTCTGTGCACATCTCCTCTTTGTATGATGGGGTTTTTTTTCACAATCTTTCTCTTTTTAAATGGAATAGGCGGCCCTATTGCATAATTCTTCCTGGCTATGACCATACCCAAACCTTCTTGCCCACCCTCAACATGGGATACAAACTGCCCCGCCTCTGACAATGTTCTTGACTGCAGATTTCACGTGCGGTTGAATGATTTCTAATCCTTTCCTCAGAAACGGCATTGATTTTTGAAAAAGTCCACGGAACACCCCCCCTAAACCTGTCCTGTACATGACAGGGGTTCCTTGGAAGTCTGCAAGGCTGTGACCAGCTTGTGCTGTGTAGTAGGCCACATAATCTTGGGGGCTTCCGTGCTCCTTGATCATAACCATCCTTCGCTTTTCTGAGGCCTAAAATTAAGCTTCACAACCACCTTCCTGTGATAAAAGCAGCTGTTTTTGTTTTGATCGGTTTTGATTTCTACAGTAATGGTATCGATGTAATGCTTGCTGACCGGAACATAATGTGGTTGATCATAGGTCACTGTAAAGAAATCATTGTCTTGCTCCCGCATAGGCACACAATGCAGTAGCAGTACATAGAAGTCACCTACTATTTGGGGGTCTACGATGTCTGTGTAAACATATACGGTATTGAATCCTCTGGTCACATCTGTGGCAAAGGGGAATTTTTTGGCATGGAATCCTGGGAACAAGCCTAATATATGACCAAGTTTTCACCAACTAGAATGCTATATGTTCCACCTCCTGTAAGATTAATTTCTGAACCACCAGATCATACTGCAGGGTCACAAGGACCGTTCTCGATGTCTCATATAAACTTGTTCATATTTTCTACCAGCTGTTCAATGCTGGCACAGTACCCATTTTTCAAAGAAAAATATCACTTCTTTCTCTCAATAAGAATTTCAAAATGTTTGGTTGAAGTTAATGTGTTCCAGCTATGTGGGTACTGTATTGCTACTAGTTCTACTTCCCATGAACCTGGAAGATCCAACGCCCTCGCTAATTGAATAGTAAAATTACAACTTTTGTTTTGGGGAAAACAGCAGCTGATGCATTGCTGGGAAGGATGATATAAAACCGCAACATATCAAAGAGGGTGTACTTTACTCTCCTTAACCCAACTGTTGAATTTCTCTGGCTAGCCTGCCCATTTGACTAGAATCTCTCCATTTTTCCCCCATCCTCTTTTTCTGATAACTTTTTCAATTCTGTATACCCGTCATCAGGAACCTTCTGGAGCTCCTCTGGGTAAAAAGACCCCTTTACAAGGCCGTTGGTGTAATCTTTTTAATCTATAGACCACCCCCCCACCTTGTCACCAGTTCTTTGATGATGAATATTTCATCCATATAAGTTTGCTGATAGCCCTTTTCAAATTTCCCCTTCAGTTGGGATAACCTGACATGATCATCCACCTTAAGATGTTTTTCCATTCTTTTACTTTTTAAAACATCCCCATACAGTCTTATCCACACTTCTCTTTCATTAGACAAATTTACGGTATTAGGTGTGGTCTGGATCCTATGATAGAAGGTGCTATTGTACCCTTGAAGAATACCAGGTAAAATGTCTATGTACCGATGGGTGTTTCTAACTGTAAAGTACCTCCAGAGTTTATTTTTCAGGGTATGGTTAAACCTCTCTATAATGGCTGCTTTAGTCTTGCTATGGGCGACAAAGTGATGAATGCCATAACATGCAAAAAGTTCTTCAGAGGAATATTTAAGGACTCTTTACTGGCATCTGTCTGTATCTTTCACAGTGCACATCCTGCACTGAAGATGTTCTGGAAGGCTGCAGCCACTTCACACCACAACTTATCAGATATAGGGGAGGCCCAGGCATATTTAGATAACACAACAGTAACTGTTAAGATAAACTTTTTCCCGTGGTTTTCCTTAGAAAATTTGGAGACATCTATGAGATCAGCCTGCTGTTGCTGATCTAAACCAGACACCACTGTTTTATTTCTGGGAAAATTAATTCTTGCAGGCTTATGTAGGGTATAAGCATTTTGTCCTGAAAGTCATGTCTTGACCTGCTTCAGGGTTAGTTTTTATCGCATTTCCTTCCCTCCTGAAAAAGGGTGTTCACAATGCCATAACTCCCCACACAGCCAGGTATATAATAAACATTCCTTAGAATGTTTTCATACTCCATTTTACTGAAACACCACTGACAAACGATCACACATTTTCCTTTCACACATGGTTTTATTGGTAATTCAGAGTTCAGAGGGCATGCCTAGGACATATACCCCTCATCATCACTATCATCATCATAAAAAAATAAAGACTCACAACATGCTATTTTACAGTAAGTTGCCCTTTCTGGATGACATTCTGTACCCCACAAGCCATGCCCACAGTCACAAGCGAATCTTCACTTAAGCTGCTGCTCTTTAACTCGCTGTGCAAGTAGCTCAGCCTCTCTGATATTACAGCATTGCTGCTATATTCTAGATCAGAAAAATCTCCAGAAGATTTGTCACTGTTGCTGTTACCACTGGTATGTAAAAGTGGTGTGCTTTTAACCGATCGCCTCCTACGCGTTAATTCAGAAACTGCAAAATATAAAACAACCTGTTACTGTGCTATCTGAGCCACCAGGATTTACAGAATAATACATAAAGACAGTTACTTACTTACCCTCTCCGCATCCTTTGCTGGGAGCTAAAGAAGTCTATTCAGCCTTTCACATTCTTCCTGTGTATCTCCTTGGTTTTCTGTGGCTCCTCATCACTAAAATTACAACACGGCTTACAACATCCATACAAAATCAGTCTGAAGTAATCATTTTCTTCATCAAAACCCCGACAACAGTTTTTCTTGCATTCTGTCAAAAGAGATCTTGAGTTGTCTTACGTGTTGGTGGTGTCTAACGGTGTAAAAAAGTTTGTAGAATCTTTATTAAGCTCTTCTTTGGAATCCGAAGTTGCCATGTTATTTTCCAATGGAGGCTGGGGTTTAAGCCGTTAAATTTCACAACAGCCTGACAAGTCTGGGCTTAGCCATCCTCCTCTCAGCACTTGCGCAGAATAATTTTTGGGTAGGTCACCAAGGTGGGCATGCCCGCTCACACCCCGCTGAGCCCTCAGCACCTGCGCCGAACAAGCCTGGGCATACCCTACCTTTTCAGCCTTACAAAAGCCCCCCCCACCCACCCCCATTACACTTCCCATATGCTTGGTGCTTGTTTGGTAGCACATTTTTTGCAGTTGCTATGAGCCTGTAAATTCCCTGTTCATCTTTCTGCTTTTTGCTGGAGGGGGATTGGAATCATTTTAGAAAGAGGGGTGCTTCAAATGTTTCGTTGTATTTGTGTTATCAGTTAAATTTGCAAACTATGTGTAGTTAGCTTTCACAAAATCTAAAACAGGCTTTTAAAAGGCTCTTTTCCCCTGCATTTGAGATTGTGCTTTTTAAACTGCATAGAAAGAATGCCTTTTTAGAAAAGGAGAGATCAAATGCCTGTGTGTTCAGGATTTTAAAATGTTCTTTCTTTTCTCTCTGTGTGTGTGTGAAGTCTCTATTGCAGGAAATGAAGAAGGGGGTGGGGTGGGGGCCACATTCCTAGGCTGATTGCTGTATTTCATTCCCTGTTAAACTTTCCTGACTTTGCTGGATGGGCTGGAATAAATTTTATAAAGATCATGCTTCAAATGTTTAGGTGTATTTGTGTTATCAGTTCAACTTGCAAGCTATGTGTAGTTAGCTTTTACAAAATCTAAAACAGGATTTTAAAAGGCTCTTTTTTCCTGGGTTTGAGGTTGTGCTTTTTAAACTGCATAGAAAGAATGCCTTTTTAGAAAAGGAGGGGTCAGATGCTAAAGTAGAGTGTGTGTGAAAAGTCTATGTTGCAAGGGGGTGGGGTGGGGGGCCACATGCCTGCTTTTCAGACTTACAAAGTAAGTTGCGCTCGTGTGTGTGCATGTGTGTATTTGTGCCTGCTTTTGAGTCTTACAAAAACCCAACATATGCACGTGGTAGGAGGCTCTATATGTGTCAATTCCAGGTTTTGGGCCAATGAGTGCCACTTCCGGAGGTGGGCAGATGTGATGTCACCCCCGGGGTTTGGACCAATGAATGTCACTTCCATGACATCACTTCCTATTTTCAGCCAATCAGAGGCCCTTCTGGTATGGGACTGGAAGTGATGTCACTGATGATAAGCCCTATTAAAATTCAGTATACACTCTTTTTAAAGTTTTAAAAGTTAGACTCTAATTAAAGCAGTCATCTAAGTTCTCAGGTAGTGGTCTTAGTATTCAAGCTCCTTTCAATCTGAGATTTTTTTAGTTTAAAAAATTAAATTAAATTAAGTTCCTTTCAATCAGAGATATTCAAATTCAAATTAACTACAGTACTTTAACATAGAGCTATAGTTTCTCTGCTGAGATAAAGAGAAAACTAAGCATTAGTACAAAAGAAATTCATTTTTTGGAAGAGAATAATTTCATTTCCTCACTAACTTTAAAAAAAATCTACTGAGCACTATCCCTTCCACATACCCAAAGGGATAGTCTTCTTTCCATATAGCTATGATACTGTCAGCCAATAAAGTATATTTACAGTGTTTTTAATGCCAGAGAAATGACAACTGCATTTCACATCCACAAGAGTAAAGACTGCATTACAGTGCAACTGATCCTAAATTAATCCTTAACAATGGCATCATACTTTTCAGAACAATTAACAGAATCTGTTCTGCCCTTGATAACGATTCCCTGTTTGTCCTTATCACTTAATGACATCAGAAACTGCATCAGTTTAAAATTTCACTTGAATCTCCTTCCAATTTAATGGGCAAATATAGGAGCTTTCACGATGAAAGTAGAACAGGCACTTTTCATAAAGAAAATTCTACAATTATATGAAGGGCAGGGGGACACTTTTCAAGGGTATGGTAGTGCTATTCCTTCAAAAGAAGCCCATTCAGAGTGAAGGATTTTTTTGCTGAATGACAATAATACATAGTTACTGTGACTGAGTGCATATTTTATGTGATATCCTTACAGTCACTTAATTGCAACTCCTGGGATTAATTTCATTCTTACTACCAAGAAGTTATGGGGTTTTTTTTAATGGCATTAAAAACAGAATAGAGAAGTAGTTCACCTAAGCAGGAGACCTTTTAAAGTAAATACATTCCCTGCTACAAAAGCATTAATTTTGTATTATAAATCAAAAGAGCTAAATATTTAGCAAAGCACCATTTGCATTCTTAGTATACTTACATATTTTTATCAAGGCATTACCACTAGGTAAAACTTTAAATTCTTTATGACTGAAATTATACTGCACATTTCACTGTAGGAAGAATATTCAAATCAATATTCTCTTATACAAGAGAGACAGCAAATGTTGAAAATCAAACAAAGATTACCTGGTTTCGATCACGTGCACTGGTATATCTGATCTTCTGAATGAAATAAAATATTAGCCATGCTGAAGAAATTATCATCAAAACTATAAATGATACGGATACAAAGACAAGAGAACTTCGATTAACATTTTTGCTTGGATAACGTGTTCCCACGGCTATTGCAATTAGGACGGACATATTTTTTTCTAAATAATTCAGGATTTCTTTAACCTTCATTTCGGTGATCATGACTGTAACAATGTCTCCAGTTCCTACAGTAAACAAAAAAATACACAAGAGAAACCATTTGAGTGATATGCTAACATACATTATGAATTCTTCCAACTATACAATGTGCTGTTAGATATCAAGAGCTCATTTATTAAATTTAGGGTGTTTAAAAAACTATAATTAGTCTAATTAGTAACCTGAGAAACTAGGAAATAACCAAAATCTTCTAAGTAATATATTCATGTATCTCACAAGTATCTCCTTATTATAATTTGATTTCATAATGATATATATCTAACTGTTAATTATAATACCAAGAAATGATGAAATTTTAAAAAATATTCATCTCCTTAGTTCTGAGACTACAGTTCCTTAATCCCAGCATCTTCAGGAAACAATACCTACCAAGTGATTAATGTCTTCAGTTTCTTTCTCCAAGATCTGGAGTTTACTCCAGTCTAAGGCAGCAGCGAAAAGAACAAATTAAATAGGAGGAATAATTTTGAAAATGCAATAATTTCAAAATGTTGGCTTCAAGAATTCCCATTTGAAAGAAACTCAGAATTTCAAGAAAACTGAAAACTGGGACAGTTAGAGGAAAAAAACTTTCATTATGGATTTAACTCCTCCTTACTGAAAAGGACCAATGAAATCATGCTTATAAATTATATACATTTGTTGTAATATATTACTGTGTGAGGAGCATATGAAAAATTATCTCAAAAAGCGAGAATTCAAGGTCATCTGATAACATTGATTAGAAAAAGATTAAAGACCAACAACAGCAGTAATTATTAACCAATAGATTTAATTATTACAAGGTAAACTGACAATATAACCACTGTTAAATTTTCACTTCAAATCTACCCCATCAATGTAAAACTGGGGGGAGGGGGGACCTGTGTTACATACCTTGGTCGATACTTCACTCAGAATGACAGTAACACATTTATATATTTGATCACAACCAGTAATTTTAATTAAATATACTTTTTTAAAACTACAAATAAAAGAAGAAATAGACTCAGCTGAAAGGAAGGTCTGATGTCTTAGTTTTTACCTTGATGAGTCATAGTAACAGGCTCTTCGCCAGATACATTGTTGTAAATTACCACAGCTGAAGCATTATGTGAAGCTGCCCGCAGAATTTTTTGTTTAAATGTACAATTTCCTCGCTGCAACAGAGCAATCCACTGTTTTGTGTTTGGAGGAACTTGAAACCGTGTTCGTGGATCACATCCTAAACGATCTGGAACTAAAAACAAAGAATATTGGTTGTAGTTTAATTATACAATTTAAACAAAAGCTCTATAAATAGATTGACCAAAATATTTTCTGATTACCAAACCACATCAATTAGCATAATTATCTGCAAAAGTTATCCATTTCTTTAAAAAAATGGTCACTGGTTTGATTTCAAATATAGTTATTCTTGAAAATGACCCAATGAATTCAAAAGACTCAAGCTAGTCATGATTACACTACATTCTTGTCGAAGTGAACTGCTCCCATCAGGGGAATGAAGAGGAGGAATTTTGACCTCTAGCCTGAACATTAACTTCTGCTCTTGAGAAATGGATTGGGGGGGGGGAGAAGTTGTTTGAAGCTGAAGGGGGTGCAAAGGGGAAGAGAATGTTCTGTATACAAGCTTGTGTCTGCTTTTATGAGAGTTAATTTCATTTAAGGGTGAATAAATGTGGATCCAGACTACTTGATCTTTTTTTTCTTTTTTTAATGTTAAAAAAAAAATCTATCAGATCATTTTAAAATTGGCACCAAGAGAAGTAAGGATGTTCTTTGGCATGAGATGTTGATATATAACATTTAAACAAAATATACAGCATAGAAATTGTACAATTGGTACTTAACTCTTGAAATATTAGCAAGTTATGGATTAATAGACACAAATGTTGTGCAATGCTTCAGATTTGATTTGCAAAGGTTCTTTGAAAAGATTGGAGGGTGAACGCTCTGCCTGTCTGCAATTCATTAGAGATTTCTGTTTCCAGGACTACATGGCTGCTGCAATGAAGCTTCCACTTGAACAAGGTGCACAGAGGTACTGCATCTGCACTCTCATTCACTGCTATTTTCCAGACTAAATCTGAGGCACTGTACAGGTTTAACAGATGCTACAGGTAGTCCTCACTTAACAACCCTAATTGGGACTGGCAACTCTGCTGCCTAGTGGGAAATCACATGACCACGAATCTGTGCTTTCTTGCTGGAAAGAGACAAGACTAGTCAGTTTCACACTTTTGGCTTTTGTTTCCCTCCTAACCACGCCCCCACCCTTTGGAATGCTCAGTGCCTGCTTACTGACTTGCACACATTGAAAACAATGTGATTGTGCTGCAGCCTGGGGCTGGGAGCTGCGGACACGCTATGAAAATAGCTTAATGTCTTGAAATCCCTTTCTCTCCAATCTCTCTGCTTGAGGGGCAGGGAGGAAAAAAGCAAGCAATTTCTGTAGGGAATCTCTTTTGCCTGACCCTTTCTTGCTGCTGGGATAATCGCATTGCTTCCAATGTGTTGAAGAGCAAACACCTTACAGTACTCTCTTGAAATCTCTTCTTCTCCAATTTCTCTGCTCAGGGGGGAGGGGGGAAACAGAGAGATTGTTTACAGAAATAACTTGTTCTCCCCCCCAGTGGAGAGATTAGAGAGAAAGAGATTTCAAGAGAGTAAGCTGTTTGCTCTTCTACACACTGAGAGAAATGTGATCACATGTGCAGTTGGAAAGGATCAGGCAAAGGAGAAATTGCCTACAGTAATTGCTTGCTTTTTCTCCCCACTGCATAGGGCAGAGAGATTGGAGAGGAAGAAACTTCAAGAGAGCACTGCAAGATGTTTGAGTAGCATGGCCTTGCTCCCAGCCCCCAGCTGCTTGAGCAATCACATTGCTCTCAATGTGTAGAAGAGCAAGCAGCTTACTTTCTTGCGATCCCTTTCTCTCAAATCTCTCTGCTCTGCTAGGAGTGAAAAAAAGAAAAAAAAACCACAGGTCAGGCACAGGATAATGTGTACTGACTGTAATGGCGATCATGTGACCGAAGGACACTGCGAAGGTCGTAAGTAAGTGGGCTGTAAAGTTATTTTTTTGGCACCACCTAACTTTGAACAGTCTCTGAATGAATGGTCGATGAGGACTACCTGTAGCTATTATGAAAATTAAGTCTGATTTTAATTTAAGTAGTATTCTAACAATATATTGCATTCTATTATATAGTTTCCATTATATTATATATTCTGTGTGTGTTTGTGGGTATGAGAGAGATGGTCAAAGAGAGAGAAAAATATATTAGGACTGTGCAAACAGATTAGAAGTGGTGCTGGGAAAAAAAAATACAATATGAATACAGATGGCTGTGAATACAAATGCATGCAGAGACAGTTGGAAAGAGTTTCCAAAACAGTCACAGAAGTTTGGGAAAAGGACATGATTGCTTTAATGATTCAAAAGGAGGTTCTTTGTACACCCTGCATGTTCTGAAGCATTTTGAAAGATCTGCACAGCCCTAATATATGTATATTTTTGCTGATCCTGAAAAACTAAGCAGGGCAGGGTTGATTTGGATGGGAGATAATGAGAAAATCACAGGCTAAATTGGAAAATTGAAAAAACATCCCAGAAGGCAATGACTTTCATTTTGCCAAGAAAACTGCATGGATATGTCTGTGTAAGTTCAACCTGAAAGAATATAGTGCATACGTACAAATACATCACAATATTTTAACTAGTACATAAAAATGGCAGGGTTATTGCAATCTTCTACCACCTTCCAACTTCAGCTGAACTTTCACATAAAACTTTCAATTTTATTAAACTTCTGATCTTTAGTTTGGTTTGAATACTAATGAAACACTGCATTAGCTCTTATTGAATATAACAATGTTGTTTTTCATCACGTGAAGACCAATTTTCCAAGCTTAAGGATTTCTTAACTAATAGATTCCATGAATGTATTATTATAAGGGTTCTTATTTGTGTTCTTTATTGTGACAATGCTTTAACGTCATGTTTATAGTACAGTATTTCTCAGCCACTTACTTACTATAATGCACTTTGAATCAGCAACAGTGTGTTGCTCTACAATTTAAAGAATCACAGGCCAATATTTTCTTAAAAATATACTTTGTATTGTGAAGTTAGTAATAAAGGAAATGGGAGAGAGAAAAAGAAGGAAAAACACACTCATTATCACTCATAATGATTTCAAGGATATAAACTACTTTATTAAATTCAAGAGGACAAGATGAGGGACAGACTGAATCCCACAAAACTGATTCATGATGCAAAAAAAAAAAAAATACTATACCATGGTATACTCTTAAGATAGAAACTGTTTAACTAGGATGATTTTATTCATCTATATGGTATTTGAACTTCTGTTATTTATGGCCTTAACCTATGAGCTACCTTTAAGCATTATCTCCTGCAATAACCCTTTTTCTCTATCATCTTAATTTGAAATCCTCAGTATTGGAGTTAGAATCATCCTTCATCTACTCATTACTATAGATTCTTTGCCCTTCTAAATCAGGCTTCCAGATTTCCAAAAATTCAACAAGATGAATGAAAAGAAAAAAGTTAATAGTGACAAAAAAATCATATTCCATGCATACATTCCTTTCACATGCGAGGGCTTGGAGAAGAGTGGGCTTTGCAACAGGCAAGCTACGTTATATTGTCAAGTTAAATTTTTTTTTTCTGATTCTGAATTTGCTATTTTTAATTGCGTGGCCTGTTTATGACTCGCACTACAATTATGCATTTCCTCCTTCAAAGTAACCGGAACTGTCACAAACAGAAGGGCCTCCAGAGTTTGGGACCACATACCATCATGGAATGATCCATCCTTTCCATAATATCTTTTATCTTCTAGCAACTGAACCAACCAAATTTTAGCATAATTTACATATTTATGAATCTCAGGACTATCAGATTTCATGCTAGAATAAAACTCAGGATAGTTACCATGCCATCTTCTTCTATCTAGCCTTTTATTAGATATACAAGAAACATTTAAAAGATGAAGAAAAACAAAATATAAATTGAGGTATGTTTCTTAAATACTTAAAAATCACTCCCCCCCCCCACACATATCGAATTAAGTCCCATAAAAGTTATTTAAGCAATCACTAAGCTATTCAAAAGCATATTCCAACCGTTACTGGAAATAAGGAATACTACTATACACCTAAAGTGCCAGACTTATCAATCAGCATTTTAAGGGACATAGACAACTATGCCAGCAAGTTTAATTATCAATAGTTTTCCATTACCATCTGTCATCTATGATCAGTTACTCAGAATCCATTTGTAATGTATATTTTTCCCAAGCTGAGGATTCTAGATATCCAAGTTGGAAAGTCTCCATGATATAATGAAAAGCAATTTAAGAGTAATTTCAAACTTCTACAAATCACCTATTTAAAAAGATGTAATCTGATGTCATTTATATCATTTTACAAAAAAGCTCAATATGTACAATGCTTTCTTGTTTTTCAATAAGATGCTGATTCCATCACTTGGGCTATTCAATATCTAAGCCTTGGTACACAGCTATGCCTCTAGGTAAGACCCTTAACTGTTGGCAATGATAAATTTGGAGCTGTTTTTTACTGTATTTCTACTGTTTTTTTCAATACAGAGAATTATCATTCCAAACACTATTAACTATACCCCTACACAAATCCATTTACCTAATATAAATCTTCATGGAATTCCAGGTTCTCCATTTCTAATTTCTAATCATCCAGTAATAGTAATATATCCTCCTTTGATGCTGCATCTACTATCTCTTGCAGTGATACAGACATCTCATGAAAACAAAGATCAGAATAATTAAAGCAATTAACTTTCCAGTGATATGAATGGCTATGGAAGTTGGGAAAAGAGTGAGAGAAATATGATATTAAAACCCTTTTGAATGATAGATTTAGAAATTATTATTAAGGGCACTATGGACTGCAGGAAGAAGCAGTTAATCAGTCCTCAACCAGATAAATGTTGACTGCTCCCTTGAGGATATGTGATGCAAGCAGATGATGGACTAGAAAGAGGCATCAAATACAATAGAGGGGTGGGATTAAAGAAATTACTTTAATATCCTTAGAATAGTTATGAGATATTACTGAAGGAAGATCAAGATGAGAAGCATTTGTCCATACAATCACCAGGAACTGATGACTTGGTGACATCTGACTACCTCAGTGCTTATAAGTGTGCCTATTTTTTTAAACAGTATTTAC